AAAGCTCGTAGTAATCCTACAAAAGGCAATGATTGGTGCATCAATTAAGGGAGATCACTAAACGATTTTGTACAGGAAAAACCCTTTTTCATACTTACAGAGATTTTACACTTTCAAACCATTTCACAATCAAATAATTTTATTTTTTTGTTGTAATTACCCGATCCATATATTTAATGTCATTTTTAACATTAATGAATATTGAAATATAAAAAGGTTAAATAACGTTGATTGAAGAAGGTCCTTTTATGCTTTTGAGTAAATACTGATTTCATTTCACTTTAAAAATGTGCCTTTTAAGATAATGTTAGTTAGAGTTTAATGCTTTTAATCTGTTCACGTATTTATAAATTTCATATTTTTAGTATTCAAAAATCATACAAGCAATAAATAAGTAATTATTTTTCGTCTGTTCTATTATATATTCCACCTAATCCGTTAGACTCTGTCACAAACAGTCCAGCTCTCATCATTTAACTGTCAAACCGTTTTGACGCTCGAATATTTGAGTGTCAAAGTGACGTTGACTTTATCGCATTTAGACAATGCGATACGATATGTAACTAAGTCTTTAATAGTAATATTCTTGTAATCTAAATCTGAAGATGAACTTTATTAAAAATAATAATAACATAAAATATGTATTCATATGTATATATAATAAATAACTTTTCCTATACCAAATAAATAATGTTATAACTAAAGGTATAAACTGATAAAACAACAAACGAATTCAGAAACCACTCACATTGTAATAGGATCATTAATTGTATAAAATATCACGTAGTTAACTTAACACATAACAAACACAAACTGACAAACTCAGTCTAGTACGCATTAAATAGTTCCAACGTGTGTGAAGTGAACCCGGGGTAACTAACCCCCAACGAGTACCGAACCGTAGCGGAATGTTCTTTTTAATATTTACATCACCTGTTATATGTGCTTCTGGCTTTAACATTTGACGGAAAAAAATGCATACTATATTTTAACACATTAATTAATATTTATAGGCGAGGTGTCCGGTGTCGATTCTTTTTTTTTGAATCGACTTGTTACACTGATAAAGGCAACAAAAGATTCAAATTATATAATACAATTTTTACCATTGTGTCAGGGAAATGTACTCGATGGTTTGGGAATTTTATTATTGTTGTTGAATTAATATTTATTGATCTTATTATTGGGCTATAAATTTTGTAAGTACTTTTATTACTCACGAACTCTTTCTTTCTAATTGGCTTTATTTGAAATAATTTATGTGTAAAGTTTATGGAGGTCAGGGCTTAAGGAATTAAATGGATTATCTCTGTTGTGTCTATATTATTTCCATTAGGCCTGCTTTCATATAACAAAAAATACCCTTAAATTTCATAAAATTTTTATTGCGAAAATCTGCCAAAGCTGGCTTAATACCGGTGCATGATCCGTAAGCCACTTAGAGTCAATTCGGCAGTCGATTTGCTACTGTTAACTCAGCTATGATTTATTGTGTTTTAATTTTATACACTTTTACAATTTATAAGTTTATTGACTTGAAACGAAAGCTGAAAATAAAATAGAAAGATTTATAAATATATATAGAATAGGTTAATTATATTTTAAAGATTTTTTGGTTTATTTCAGGAAATTTGTCAATAATTGGATATTTTGGTATCCTATTTTGATATTTTTTTCCTATTAGGGATTAAGACAAACAGAGGCTATGATAATAAATTAAACAAAGTGATAGTATTCCGCGAAAGGTTTTTGAGCAGACCTAGTTAAATTACCGCCATCCATAGAGTGTCCATCCATGCTGATATTAAATAGATTGCAAATAAAATGTTTTGGTGAATTATATATGTATATTTATCGTGCATAAATGGAACGAAATTTTTAATTGTAACTAAATATAATTTATGTAATTCGATAATAACAAAATATTAATTAAAAAAGTAACTACATATTGTAATTATTGATAGAACAACTGTTATATATAGATGGGATGGTTGATAATAATTATGCATAGCAACACAGTCTCGTATATTTAAATATTGGACCCTTATAAAGCGCTTGGCTGATCGGACGATAGCCGTGACGAGACGGAAGTTTTATTCCGGACATCCGGAAATTCCGTATGCCCGGGATACCTTTTATTATTATCCACAGTTGCCTCCATAGAAATTCAGACGTTGAAAAAAAGTTATCATAAGTAACGGTCGAAAGGCGTAAAAATATTTTTTTCCATTTTTTGGTGTTTTTCGATATCGGAATGGAGATTTTAGAGGAAGTTAAAAAATATTTGAATATCGAAAATGGTAATTGAATCAAAAATTCAGTCGTCATGTCGATTGTTTTTTAATCAAATTATGTGCAGTTTGTGTTCAGTGCTTGTGTATTGGTAACTTTGTTTTGAAAAAAATCCTATTTTCTGGTTTCTATAAATTTTTTCAAAATGTTTCACAATCTTATCTACTGTTAAAAGTGTTGCAAATGTTTTAAGCTTATATTGCCTTGAAGGTTTTTCGATTGAACAACTGGTTCACCTTTAAAGATATTGCGGAATATAAAAGACTTCCCTGCTTTTTGTTTAGAGAACTGTATTTCATGTACACACAATAAAGAACTCGATTATTTTACACGACAAACTTGTTTTGTTACGCTTTCTTAATCTACACATACGCGGTTGCCGCACCGACCATAGATTTACTTGGCACTATACCGTGGACCAAATAAATGGCATGGTATAAATTTCGTCTATAAACTAATTCGAAACTTAACTCTTTAATATTAATATTTAAGCATTTCGTAGTCAAATACTAAATCCCTATGATTTGAGAATAGACCTTTATTTTACTTGTTCCAGAAAATATTTGTGAAAGGGCATGTACCTATTATAGTAAAAACCTAAATATTTATAAATTTATTTTTATAAAAAAGACATTAAAAATTTCTTAGTATACCCTCCATCATAACGATAGTCATTTACATTTTGGAATTTCCCATACCATTCCCAATTCCCATCCCATTGTATTTTAGCTTAAAGGTACTCGTGGTTTAACTTTATGTTGTGTTATCGTTTGTGTCTATCCTTAAATACCACATACTAGTAGCTTTGTTACGTTTAATATTTTAATGTATAATAATTATTATTACCTATAGTACAAAAAGGTTTTTAAATATATACATACATACATATTAATTTATTTATTTAACATTAATTAATGTTTCGTACCCTTGTAGAATTTTGAGATCCATTTTATATTTAAGCTTTAATCATTAAAAAAAACATTTTAATTTGAACCTAATGGGGTTTTATTTTAAAATAATATCATTATCAGAAAACAGTTTAAACTTTTTTTCCAATTTGAAAGGCGTAGTCGGGCGAATGACACTGCTTGCGAGTGAGATACTGGTCTTATCGAAATTGAATTCGTTAAAATGTATGCCGTAGCAAAAATTTTCTTTTTTTATACATAACCAAGTTTTATTTTCAGCAATTTCTTCTTATGCCCAAAAATTTTCTGCTTATTTATTTTATCAGGGGCAGGCTTAAAAGGCGTTTTTTTTTTTCAGAAATGCTCATCTTCATATTGTATTATTTTATATGTTAAGGCCGGCAACAGAAATTTACTCCTATATATCAGAATACTGGAATTGAGACAAGTAGAAGTCTTTGTAATCTGAATTGGCCTTAATTAAGTGCCTATTGTAAAGACTCATATTTCTAATCCTAACTGAATCAGTCTCTGACATTTCCTCCATATATTAACAAATAGAACTTGGGTTGGAAATGATTCACTACCAAGACGTTCAAAAATAATAAATTGTTCTTGTTTAAATCCATTTTATGCTATATAAATCATTTTCATTTCATGTGTAAACTGTTAAGGTGTACTAAATTTTACAAGTCATGTTATTAATCAATAGGACCCATATATATATTTATTTACTAGATTATTTTTAATTATTTTTTAGCCCTGGCAATAAGAGGTCAAAATAAAAACATTTTTTATGTTTTTTATTTCAATTTCAAATTTCAGCCTTGATTTGTAATATATAAAATTTTGACATGTAAAATTTTAAGAAAATACTGTGTGAAAGTATTGTTTTTCATTTTAAAAATAATTATCATCATCATTATCAATAATATTCTTTGAAAATTTTTATTTAATCATACAAGGAAAACGTTTTGTATGTGTTATTATATTTAATTGAACAAATATTTTCTAAACAATTTTACATATAAGTGTATTAATCTTATAAATGGATTTATGACGATAGCTTGTAGAAGACAGAGACGCTCTCTTTACGCTTGAAAGAGAGCCTTTCAATGATCTTAATAAATGTCTCAATGACATGAAGCCTTTGATTGCTAATTAGGAAGTCTAATTAAAATCTGCAGTAGTCTGAAGTTGATCATAATGACTGAGTTTTTACTTCAAAAGTGAGATTTCTCCGTAATTTTGTAAAACCACATGTTTACTTTCTGATTATGATCAAATATTCTATTATGAATAATTAGTTCTCTTCGATTTTTGACTTAGGGGGAGGGGGGGCACATTGATTCACGGGGCACATTGGTACAGTATCTATATCTCAAAACCGATAAACGCTACACAGTCCGGCAAATCACTAGAATGCTCAAGGGTATTCACAAGAATGACAGTTGTGACACCGTTCGCCACCAGTTTGCCATTGGACCTCAACGGTCACTAACGTGTTAAAAGTGGCGTGCGCCGCTGCCTACAAAAAAAAAACATGAAATGTAATTGTGTCTCAGGAGGATTCTTTTAGTTGTTTTTGTTTTAATTTGTTACTACAGGTAAGTAAATATAGTTATTATTGTATTTTAAAATGTTTTTGATTGCATTATTATTATATATTAGATAAAATTAATTGTTTGTGGAAAAAGTCCGTTGGGGCACTTTGATACGGTAATGTGCGGGGTACAATGATACGTATCAATCTGCCCCTCTAGTGTATTAGAGTGTAGTTTATTTTCTTTTTTTCAGAAAATGGTGCGCACGTACAAACCCAAAACTGATAGAAAAAATATTAATGAAGAAAACATTGAAGACGCAATACGTGAAGTATTGTCAAAGACTTTATCTATACGCAAAGCAGCCGACAAATATAGCATCAAAACTGCGACCCTACAACATCGCATAGAAAAAACCAGAAAATCATTTGAAGCTACCAGAATATTATCTACAAATGAAGCATCCTCTTCATTACCAGCAGAATCTTTTTTATCACAAGAAGAATCTTCTTTATCACAAGCAGGTCCATCTTCACCACAAATAGCACCATCTATGGAGATGGCAAAAATAGCGTCATCTTCAGCACACACTACTACTGCAGCTTTATCATCACACACTGCTACAGCTACTTCATCAAACATCTATGGTTCCAAGTATACCATTGCACATGTTTTTTCAATCGAACAAGAAAAGGCATTGACTCAATATTTATTGAATTGCAGTAAAATGCACTACGGCATTACATTGAGACAGCTTTTGACTTTGGCATACGAGTTCGCAGAATCCTCAGGGTGTAATTATCCAAAACCCTGGAAAAAAACAAATGCGCTGGAAAAGATTGGGCAGCTGGCTTCAGGAAGAGAAACCCAGAATTGAGTCTACGAAAACCAGAAAACACAAGCGCAGCAAGAAGCTTTGCTTTTAATAAAGCTGCTGTAGCTCACTTTCATGATAATTACAAACACATAATGAGACAGTACAATTTTACACCCGATCGAATAATAAACTTAGTCTCAATCAATAAAATTGTTTTATTTCTTAATTTTAAGTAATAATACAGTTTATATTGGGTTTTTAGTCAGTTTAAATTTGCATTTCATATGGATCTAAAATACGTATCAAACTGCCCCACCCCATGTATCAAAGTGCCCCACTGGTGGGGCAGAATGATACAAATATTTTATTTTCTTAAAATCACATTATCTCTACACGTCGCCAATTTTTGCGGTTTTTGCGTAGCCAAAATGTAAGCTGACATATCAGCCAATGCACACATCAAAACAAATATTTAAATATAATGCTTTACGGTCCTCAGAAAAGAGATTTAATTTTTGTGTATCAAAGTGCCCCCCCTCCCCCTATGTGACTTAATTATTAATAATAAGGTCTGTATAAGACTTCACAAGAGTTTTTTATGCTATATTTAAATCAATCTTTAAATAGAACTAAGCTATTTTAATCTGGGTTACAACTAACGGTTTACATTATGAAAATACTGCAAACAAGTTCATTTTATTATGGATTTAGAAATATTATTTCCTGTTTCGGTAAAGAAAGCTTTAAATTTATAAGCATTGTCATTTAAACATCCAGAAGTGAGATTCAGATTTAGGAATATAATGCATTTATCACATGAGACGCATTTTATATAAAAAATTCCTAACTTTGTAGTAACCAACTTTATATGACAAACTTTCATAATTATATAAATGGAGTATCAGAGTGTTATTCATTCCTAACTATTAATAGACCGAAAGGCATCTATTGCTTTTATTACTAGAAAAAAAAACCTTAAGGTTTCTAATTTATGTCCATAAATTTATGTTCTCACTTCGACTATGTTGTTTGGTGTTTTATGAATATTCTGTGGACGAATAATATTTTAATATTATTTTATCAGTTATTTTTGGAGTCGGTAACTTAAATCGAACTTTGTTCACGGAAGGTTCACGACGCATGAAGGCAAGCGACGTTAAGACATCTCGTCTGCCAGTGATGACGGTTGTTGTAAAGTAACCGAAACATCGGGAGTATGTAATTTATAATTAAAAATAAAAATCGCTTAGTACATCCGAAAATATCAGTTTCATTCCTATGTATGCTTACCTCTTTAAACCAACAAAAAGGAATTTCATATGGTTTTTTGCAAATGGATAGAGTGATTTAGGAGAAAAGTTTATAGGGGTACTAAATATTCATTAAATTGTTGAAAAATACCGTTAATTTTGAGGTATCGTAATTTAGTCGATTTTTACGCTTTCATTGCAAAGACTGGTTGAAATCTATGAGATTGATCAAAATAATGTACTAAGTATTGTACACATTGAAAAGGTTTATAGGAAACTCTGAGATAGTATTTGTGTGTCTCTAATGGATATCCCACAACAACATTATTTTTGTCATCTTTTTACGACAAATAATGGCTAATTTAACCAATAACTTAACCAATACAGCCTTAATCCTTATCGAGTAGAATGCCTTTAATACATTATTGATGTAATATAGGTCTATCCCTCTATAGCATATGATTTAATGTATTTAAGTTTTTATATACTATATTGACAGTTTTTCTGTATTGTACATATTTAGTATCAGCATTGCATTTGTGCAAAGCCGGGTACGGGTCGCTAGTAATTTTCATAAAGGCAAGAGGCAGAATAATATTAGGAATATTCTTGTTTTATTTCTTGAATATCATATAACAAGCAATAACACATAAAGAACTGACGCAAAACGATAAAATAGTTAAAAAAGCAATTAATAGTGAGGTCGGAGTATAAAGGATATAAGACATTTTCCAGGAGCGTGGCTTGATTCTGGTGGGGACAATTTTAATGCGATTTTACTTAGCATATAAATCATTAGTGCTAAGTTGTAGGCGTTGGAGTTTAATGTTACGGGCTTGTAAACGCTGTAACAAAAATCTAACTAACTAGTGTATTAAACACTGAGAATTTGAATAAAATATGAATGATGTTTTGTGTGTTTGAATAATTTTGTGTATTTCAAAATAGTACAATCTTTAATTTTAAAAAGCACATTTTGGTATATCACAGGACAGAGAGAATTCTGCAAAGATACACAAAAATGTATGTAAATTTTCCTGGTTTAATTATTATTTCATGAATTTAGAATATAACTCTTTTTATCCTTATATCAATGAAAATATTATCATTATGCTTATGTAGTGTTCAAGTTGAACACTATTGAAGATCTCAAAAGTCTTACATATTTGTAACTGATATGTTAATTTTAGTTTTATAGTTTCCAGTAACTTGTACCACACGTAACTACGTATGCACCTCGCGTGCCCCAACCGTTATTTTAGTCTTTAATAATCGCATGAATAAAGAGATTTTCAATTTTAAGAACTCAATTATATTCATAAAGTAGGCAACTCGTTGCATTTAGTGACATCAAAAAAAGTGACTCTTGAAACTCATTTCTTACACAAAAATATTCTTGCATATTGTATGTGCATATGTTGTAATTAAATTAAATTTAATTTAATTTCAATAGTGTAAGAAAAACAGTTCTTTGAAAAATTTTATGTATTACACCAACATTTTAAATTTGTTTAGTATTTTTGTCTTTAAAGGAATCATCGTTTGCCTTTTCATCTATTACAGATGATTTATGGGAGTGTGTGATTATAATAGACACTTTCGTTGGTGGCTATGCAGACCGATTCTGGAACGGCAAGACCGGCCGCATCTGGAACAGGCGCATAAAGCGACGGATGCGCCTGCTGGCATGTTATTGCTGTCCTGCTGTTTGGCTTTTTTGGTGGCGAGTTTTTCGAACCACGCTGTGTCGTGTAGCTTGAACCCTTGTGCAATCCGAAGCTTCCATCGATCCCTGTCTTCCGCGAGTTTCTCCCATTCCCTATGCTCGATATCAAAGGAAGTAAGGTCTCGCTTGACACAATTTTTAAAGCGTAGCAACGGACGTCCTACATTTCTCTTGGCATTCGCTACAGCACCCAGCAAGATCTTTCTAGGTAGTCTAGAAGCATTCATACGGTGCACATGTCCCACGCAGCGCAAACGACGTTGTTGGAGGAGGGCGCTGAGACTAGGCAGTTGTGCTTTAGCTAGGATTGCTTCATTTGTGATCCTGTCCTTCTACGTAACTCCCAAGATATTGCGCACACAATGCATGTGAAAAGCGTTAAGCCTGTACTCTTGTTTTGCATACGATGTCCAAGTCTCTGCTCCGTACAAGAGTATGCTCAAGATACACGCTTGGTACACTAGTATTTTAGTTCGGACATTAAGGTGGTTGTTGTCCCATACTCTTGTTCTAAGCTTCCTGAACATGGTCGCCGCTTCACCGATGCGTATATCGATCTCCGCACTAAGCGACAGATTGCTCGTTACGGTCGAACCCAGGTAGCATAACTTACTAACTACGTCCAAGGGAACGCCATGCAGCATTATGACTGGTTTTCAGCAAATCCTTGGGCGAATATTAGAGTCTTCTTAGCATTGATGGACATTGAAAATAGATTGCACGCATGAGAGAATTTATCCATCATAGTTTGAAGTTCATAAAAAGACGTGGCAAACTATACGCGAACAGATCTACCCGCTTTGACTTTAAGAGAGCAATATTGAAGAGTTTCCCGTCAATCCGTGTGTGCAGATGCACACCCTGCTGTTTGTCACCAAAGGCTACTTTTAAAAGCAATGAAAAGAAAATGCCGGACGGAGTAGGTGCCAGTTTTTTTTTTGTGCGCACTGGGAAAAAATGCTTTACGCAACCCTGTCGCACGCCTTTGCACATATTAAATGGTTCCGACATTTTTCCGTCAAAAACGGCAGATCCTTTCGTTTCTATTTCGAGTAACTCAAACAGTCCCTCTTAAAGGTATATTAAATTAATATTTTAATTAATGAATGTTGTCTATGAGTGTCTATGAATTTTGTATTGCATTTTTCAATTAAAATAAAAATCCATGTTTAACATGGAAAAAACTAAGTAAAAAGTGTATTAGTAAAGTTTTTGTAGATTTTTAGGTAGTAATATCTACATATTACTAGCTAAAAATCTAAGAAAACTATGTACAAATTACGTTTTATTATCAACAATCATTTATTTGAATCTTTGAAAAAAGTGTCTTCGTCTGTCAGAAGTTAATAAAGACATATTTAGTTATTTATTTTACATCATTAGTTATGCGGTTTTAAAGTTAAAATCAATGTATCACAATCCTCACACAAGTAGACCACTGGAAGCGACTTTTATACTATTTCATCATATTGTTTACAAATGAGAGAATTTCCTGATTAGATTCATTTTTGAATTCATAGATCTAAGTCTTTGATTTTGAGGTCTTTGAAAAAGCTGAAGTAGGTATACGACACGTATCTACATGGTTATCTCACAACCTCCTTACGCTAAATAAATCTAAAAGTAATTACATCTGTTTCCATAAAACAGCGATTTCTGCACCCAATCCAACTTTAAAATTAAAACTTCACACCTGTGTACACGGTAGCAAATGCAATTGTATTTCACTGACCAAAATAGATGCAGCAAAATATCTCGGAATTCTTATAGATCAAAATTTAAACTTTAAAGATCACATCAAATTTCTTTCTGGTCGCGTCCGCAAAGTCATCTTCGCAAAACTTCGCCAGTTGGCATCATTAAGCACTTTGCGGGCCGTATATTTTCCTCTCTGTCAATCACTGAGATCTTACTGCATTAGTTCCTGGGGTAGCGCCTGTAAAACGCATTTAATTCATCTTGAACGAGCCCAAAGATCAGTGCTAAAAACGATGTTGAATAAACCATTTGATTATTTAACAACCAAACTTTACCAGGAATGCGAACTTCTAACCGTACGCCAAATATACATTTTAAAAATAGCA